AGCGAAAATACTGAAACCAAGAAATAATAAAAATGAACTTGTTTTCAAGGGTCCCTTAGATGAAGAGAGCGTAGACATCGCAGCAGACTCGCCCTCCGTTATCTCCCTCGGTGTGACTCGCGAGATCTTCACCGTACCACAAGTGTAACTCTTCACCGGAAGTCATCGGACGAGGGTGGCTGAAAAACGACAGGATAATCTCTGGAGATTGTGAGTCGTACCCAGGAATTGTCGTCCATAGACTGGAATCTGGGACTAGCTGACTCGCTGGCAGAATGATGTGATTACTCGAGGTTGTTATGGCAACGGAAATCTTCTCTTTAATGCCCCCATGGTGAGCACAGCCCCAGTAAGACCAGTGGATTTTATATCGAGTGTCACAGGACACGTACCCGTACAGGTGCACCAGTTTTAGAGCGCCCACGTTGCCACCACCAGGCGGAATATAAAACCTGCCAAACTGGTTATCTCTCGCGCCAAAACACACTGGTCCGGAATTCAGTTTGCGCCAACGATCTGAAGGAAAAAAGTCAACATAAATAGAAATTAAGCTAAGCTAAGCTAAGCTATTTATCGACAGATAAATAGAAAGATTTTAAGGTTTACACTAGATTAAGTTAGGACCAGTAGTCATTTACTCGCCACAAGCCTGCTTTAGTAAGCTATGACATTTTATTAATCTGCTTAGTTTTGCGTAGATAAATGTTAAATTGAATTTCGTACAATTAAAACAATTCTAAGCCCGTAAGCTGTCTCAGATTAGTTTAAAAACTTGAAAGCGAAAGCAGGAGTCAAAGAACTCGCTTTTTATTGAGCTAAAAACGGACTTAACGCTGATAGAAGTTTGTAATTTGCAATTTTAAGGCCAATGATTAGGTAACTGAATGAACTGGTATAAAAATCACAAGATCACTTTCAATTTTTTTTTTTTTGAATTTTGTGTTTGGAAGTAAGTAAATGCTAGCTAAGCTAAAACCTTTAGTTGATGCGAGAGATGACTTCTTTAGTTTCATTCTTATAGACTTGATTTAGTGCATTACATGTAAGTTGCCAATTTGTCACTCATCTCATTTTTCCGTTCCTCTTAAATCTGACCACAGTTAATCTCAGTATAATTTTGTAAAGGATTGTAGGATAAACGTGAGATTTTAGTCTTTGAAGTTGTGGCAATTAACTTGAAACTCATAAATAAACACTGAAAAACTCATGTGTTCAAAACTGATAAAAACTCACTAAAGCGAAACAATTAATTAACGTACAAGTTGCGAAGCACACTCAGAGGCAGGCAGTGTCATTAGGGCCCAGTATGCTTCTCTGGCGAAAGGTTTAAGTTGTTAAGAAAAGCATTGGTGGTATAAACCTTAGTTGAACGATTTGAAACACATTGTAATAGTGAATGGAGTAAAAAATAATAAAATAACAAAATAAGCGTATTGTACATAGTTAGTGAGCTGTATTTCAGGCAATTAGCCACGATCGGGAAATTATATATATATGTCCTACGCGTCTCAATGAATTAATTCTTCTGAACGATGTTTATTTTCACTGTAAAAGCATGCAACCAGCGTTGAAACTACTCTTTCCTCGCATAGCAAACTCCCCCATGCCTTCAACGAAGCTTTAGCGCCCAGTATGGTCGGTCGGCGGAGAGTTCATTTTGGAATAAAGCTCCGCTTATTAATCAAGTAATTCGTTCGGTTTTAAGCCGCCGAGTTCCCTTGTCATAGCTTTGCCTACTGAATTTCGCTGTAAGCCGGGTACAAGATCTATGAAGAGCCACGGCGAATAGGCAAAGGTAATACTGACAATACAAGCAAACGTACCTGTTTTATGGCCAGACCCGTTTTGATCGTTCTGTGGGAGTCTCGCGGCCATCGCGCCAAGAAAGGCAACGGATAAGAACATCAGACAGAGTTTCATGGTTAGAATTTACGTCTCTTGTCAATAGTGTGTCTCGCTTCAAGTTCTGTCGCTCGACAGAGAAACTGAACTTCACTGAGCATATTATTAAGCCACATTCGGTTCATGTTGGAACAAGATCTTGGATCAAAGAAATTGTTTATTCATAACTGTATACTGACACAATGCAGTTAGTAAATGGAAAACAATAAAATGATAAAACGGACGTTTTTATAGAGTTGGCTGGTCTTGGTTTAACGAGAGGGACTTGTCGTCTTAAAATATGCCCCAGCAAGGCGCATACACAGATGAAAGCTGACACACTGTTTAAATAATATGTCATGTACAATGTATCCACATCATGCTTTGGTTCGTTTGTGTGGCTAGTAAATCATGCAAAACTGAACACGCAATTCAATCTTTATCCGGGGGGAGATTATCCCTTACATGGGCTATATCACGGTATGTGCAGCCCCAGAGCGTATGGTTTTTCAGCCGTTTTGATCAGAAATAGGGCAAGGAGTTTGGCCATTTTGCTCTCAAATAGGGTATGGTTTTTGCTCTCTAATCTTGAATCGGCTATGCTTGTTAGAAGAAGCTACTTTTTCATCATTATCGATAAAACCATCAACAAAAGCCCCTCACAGTGACTTTAACATCGGTCTGAACTAGGGAACTCAACATAAGGGAGGTCTGAAATAGTGTTTGATTGAAAGGTCAGGTCCTAAACAGGCTATCGAATTTTTGGTCAGGTCATAAATAGGGTAGGGAAAATCTCAGATTTTGGTTGTAAATAGGGTAAGCGTTTTGCGAAGCGGGCCGCACACCCCCATCTATTTTTTCTAGGAATACGTATACCCCCCTGGATCTTTATTAAGTTTTAAATTAAATTAGCCTGAGGGTGTTACACTTTGCTCTTGATGCAAACCGACTTTACATAGCTAATTGATTTGACCATAATTACTTTAAAAATGGTCGTGTTTTTTTAAAATACATCTGGCCTAAATCATAATCCAGATAAATTATGCGTTTCGTAGATCTTATATTTGAAACGTGTAGAGCGAAAAACGAAATGAATTGAGTGAAATAAATGGTGTGACTTCATAACTGCTTAGTGTGAATATTAAAGAAACCCTCGTGTAGTCGACCATAATTGCAAAACAATTGTCAACAATATATTGTCAAGATCTAATCTAAAAATAATGTGGTCTTGTAATATTTAATTTCACAAGACTCTAAGAAAACGCCCTAAATATTTTCTATCGATCGAGTTTTAAAAAGAAAAATTAAAAATACCGGATTAAGCGTAAACTTTCTAAAAGGACATTTTTATACCCCATGTTAAACCTGATTAAAA